TCCAATAGCCCTTACAAAGATCTACTTTTTTCGCATGGTCCTAACCTGGCGCAAAAACCTTTGTATTTAGTAGGCACCGTCCTTAAACGCAAGCGAGTTGCGTGAACCGGCCTTGGACATTAACACAATAAAATGCTAAAAACAGCATGTCACAAATAGTTACAAATGCTTGGGACCCAAGGTCTGCATCTCAGTTCCCGTAACAAAAAATAAATAAAATAAAATAAAATAAAATAAAATAAAATAAATAAATAAATACATAAATAAATGTGTAAATTCAATCTGTACAGCGTGGTTGAAACTCGTATTTCCAAATTCAATAGCACCAAACGCTGTCAATTTATCGTCGGTGTTGTATCTGTCTTTCGAAGCCAAAATTGATTAACCCACAAGTTACCTGAACTATATCTATCTACCAATCTATCTTCACAGGAATCTTCGATCAGGAACGCAAATAATGGTTACACAGGAATGTCTTACACAGGGAATATGCGAAAGCCAACATCTCCTAGTGTCCACGTGACTTTGGTCACGTAGACACGGTCCATGACGCAAAAAAATGGAGGATCAAAAATAAAAGAAATATATTCCAACAACAACGACAACAGCTTTATTTATCCCTTCTTTTTTTATAAATTAAATTACATAGTAGCATAATAATCAAATTAAAATAAGCGTAACTGTAAGTTGAAAATGTCAGGTTGTCAGTTAATTACAAATATATCATAATTTGTAGTCGGTCGCTAGCTAACGTAAACAAACAGAGAAACGTCAAATACAATAAATGAAAATAAGGAGATTAGCATTAAATAAATCATACGACTGTATTATCCTACGACAACTGCACTAAAAATACCGGTATTTGTTTGAAGTCATCAGCAAAATTCATTAATAATTGTTGGTAAGATGGTCTTTCAGATTGGATTTCAATGAGGAGAGGGAGGAACATTTAAAATCTTCATCTATAGAATTCCACATCACAGAGCCTTGGAAACGAATACTGAATATTCCTTGTGATATTGGCAAGATATCCAGCAAATATCGCGAAAAAAGAATAAATATAGAGTACAGTGAGAATGTGTAATGATCAAATTGACAGAGCTCGCCTTTGACATTTGATATCTACACGTTTCAACTGGCAAATCGATATCGGACATCGAAGCATATGATGCACTGCGGATGGATAGGTTTAGAAGTTTCATCTTTATCTATCTTCTTCACCAAGACCCTAATAGACCTCTAACATTTAGCATATCCTCTCCTAAAAATTTATCTATTTTTTCCTAATACTCGAAATCACACCCAGAGATAACATTCTAAGTACTGAACTTCTTCGAATAAACAACAACAACAAAAAAAGCCGGTGTCATGTTGCATGATACTGGTGTACCAGGCCGAGAGGTTAATAGTTAATACCAATACACTGGGCTCTTTTAATGTCAACCGCGTTCTGGGAAAATGAGAGACCCTGGGAACAAAGTTGTGTAAATGCGCGAAACATTCTCGTCCCCATAGCCCTTTTTGCTTCTCTTAGCCGGCTGGGGCCTTGGCACGAGAAGCGAAAAGGGCTATGTGCACGAGAATGATGTGAGAAACATTTCGACAAATATCTGAAGTTTGTGAGAGCTCACAGATCTAAAACTAGGAGAAGTTTCTTCTTTATCTATCCTCTATAAGACCGAATTTTTTTGACTTCATCCACCGAATGGTTTTTAATTTGTTTTTGTTTATTCCATGAGAGTGAAAAATGATCTATTAAAAGTTAGCGTGATTTAAAAGTAACGCAATCCAGAAACGTATGTCACTAACTCGGTGACGCCAGTGCAGTGT